TTTCAAATGTTTATTTCATTTAATTGCAATGATTAAAACTGACAACTAATCCCAAAATCAGTATCTCAGAAAATTAGAATATTGTGAAAAGGTTCAATATTGAAGACACCTGGTGCCACACTCTAATCAGCTAATTAACTCAAAACACCTGCAAAGGCCTTTAAATGGTCTCTCAGTCTAGTTCTGTAGGCTACACAATCATGGGGAAGACTGCTGACTTGACAGCTGTCCAAAAGACGACCATTGACACCTTGCACAAGGAGGGCAAGACACAAAAGGTCATTGCTAAAGAGGCTGGCTGTTCACAGAGCTCTGTGTCCAAGCACATTAAGAGAGAGGCGAAGGGAAGGAAAAGATGTAGTAGAAAAAAGTGTACAAGCAATAGGGATAACCGCACCCTGGAGAGGATTGTGAAACAAAACCCATTCAAAAATGTCGGGGAGATTCACAAAGAATGGACTGCAGCTGGAGTCAGCGCTTCAAGAACCACCACGCACAGACGTATGCAAGACATGGGTTTCAGCTGTCGCATTCCTTGTGTCAAGCCACTCTTGAACAAGACACAGCATCCGAAGTGTCTCGCCTGGGCTAAAGACAAAAAGGACTGGACTGCTGCTGAGTGGTTCAAAATTATGTTCTCTGATGAAAGTAAATTTTGCATTTCCTTTTGGAAGGTCCCAGAGTCTGGAGGAAGAGAGGAGAGGCACAGAATCCACGTTGCTTGAAGTCCAGTGTAAAGTTTCCACAGTCAGTGATGGTTTGGGGTGCCATGTCATCTCCTGGTGTTGGTCCACTGTGTTTTCTGAGGTCAACGCAGCCGTCTACCAGGAAGTTTTGGAGCACTTCATGCTTCCTGCTGCTGACCAACTTTATGGAGATGCAGATTTCATTTTCCAGCAGGACTTGGCACCTGGACACAGTGCCAAAGCTAGCAGTACCTGGTTTAAGGACCATAGTATCCCTGTTCTTAATTGGCCAGCAAACTTGCCTGACCTTAACCCTATAGAAAATCGATGGGGTATTGTGAAGAGGAAGATGCGATACGCCAGACCAAACAATGCAAAAGAGCTGAAGGCCACTATCAGAGCAACCTGGACTCTCATAACACCTGAGCAGTGCCACAGACTGATCGACTCCATGCCACGCCGCATTGCTGCAGTAATTCAGGCAAAAGGAGCCCCAACTAAGTATTGAGTGCTGTACATGCTCATACTTTTCATGTTCATACTTTTCAGTTGGCCAACATTTCTAAAAATCCTTTTTTTGTATTGGTCTTAAGTAATTTTCAGAGATACTGAATTTGAGACTTTTTGATGATATTCTAATTATATGACCAGCACCTGTACAAGGTGTTGTCAATCACAGATAACCCACATTTTCTCCTCAAAGAAAGGACAAACTGTGAAAATATTTCTTTTGAGCTTGAAAATTACATTTGAAATTAATATTAAATAGCTTTGAAAATATTGGCAAAAATGTTTTTTCTGAAGCTGAAACCTTTAATAGGAGGTGACAGTACAAACTGCAGGCATCTTTCTAGCGTGTATCCTTACCTGTATGGGAAACACAAGGTTTCTTTCTAGCAGTATGAAATTCAGTATAGGTCTAACAGCACATGTGAAGGAATCTATATTTATTCTGGTTTGTGTGATTCTGGTAAACTATACCCATCCAGTCTGTCTGACTTTTGTCCTCGCTCCTAGCTTCTTTGCTGCTTCAGCACAACCATGCAGCACTTTCACTGTAGGTGAAAGAGTTGTGATGCCTTTAAAAGAATTCATAACATCCAACCTGTACTGACCTTATACGGCAAATAAAAACTATCGATCCTCCCTCCCCAACTCCCACTTTAAAAGACTTATTGTGGCACTCCATTTCATCTAATCACTTGGCAAAAGAGTCCAGGTTCTAAATAAAGAAAGAATAAATAAAAAACTCCCTGGGCCAACGTGTTGCTCTCACCTTTGCAGATGAAATTACCCGAAAAGCTGTTACAAATCAATATAATCAATGCAATCAGCTAACTGACACAGGCAATCTCCTGCCAGTAAGTAAAATACCCCCAGTGGAGATCTTTCAATCTCTTGTGCCATAATCACCCCCAAGGGCAACGTTAGGGTGTAGCATTTTGTACACTTAATTAAATTAGTGAGCTCTGTGGACAGGGTGGGTTGCCGATCTCACAGAGAACAGATAGGTCTGGCCCTGAGCCAGTAATTAAGGCAATACCTTTCCTGATTACGCCAATCCCCCTTAATGAACTCATTATGCATTTTAACCCAAACACTCCCAGGAATTAATGAGCACAAAGAAAGCCCCGGGATGGAAAGAACGCCTCGATCACAAACGCAAGTCATAACTCATCCACTCAACGGGGTAGACGTAATGTCTATATTTCTCCCTTTCTCAGCCGCAGCCAAGGCTAATTTGGACTTGAGTGACAGCAAAAGTTCTGGGTCTGTACACATAAAGCTTTAAAGAAATAGCATCCCTCGTCTGGCAAGTAACAACAGAAACTTTACAAGGTCTAACTGGAATCATATCCGAATTGACTGTATTATGAAAAATTGTCCTTTTGCACAGAAAACACTTCAGTACATGCTCCCACCCACATGGGGTCCAAGCATATGTGTAAAATGATTTAAAGAGACCTAGGAACACTGCAGGGTAGGAGCAGCTCCGTGCTGACCCATAATGCTCGGCTAATTAAATAATTCACTAATTGATTCATCGCCAAATCAATAAAACCTGCAGATAGTTTATGGTGTGAGAGCTAAAGTGTGTTTGTGTTTCAAATGAAACACACAAACACACACACACACACACACACACACACACACACTCTGATACCACAGGATCCAAACTGCCAGTGCATCTCCCCAAACAGAATGATGAGCAAACGCACATGAAATTGGTGCTAAAATGTAGGCGAACATTGTGTTGACCTTGAGCTTGTGTTGTATGACATCATTTCAGCCCCTCACAGGCAGATGATGGTCAATATAAAAAGTGGGGGCAGTGTGACACTGTGTGTGCGCACATGTTGAACCCATAAACAGCTCCGTCCTGAACCTAGTCTCAGGGGAGTCTGGGTTTTGTAGGTAAGCCTGAGGAAGAAATCAGCTGGGATATCATTAATTCAAGTGTAATGAATCCTTAGGGTGTTTGTGTAGAAGTGTGCACTGTAAATATGTGGTATGTTATGCATACTTTATGACTGGTCATTTGTTTGTGTGCGCGCGCGTGCGCCTGGTGAGGTTGGAATTACCTTTGAAAGTAATTGGGACAGCAGTCAAGTGTGACATCTCACTGATCTGAGTGAACCTAAGGGTTGTAAATCATGCTGCACAAGCAGTTTGATATTTGTTTCCAAGCATGTGCGCACAAATACGCACACAAACACACACAGAGAGACAGATGCAGAGAATTGCACCAGTGCTCAGTACTGTCGTTATAGGTTGCTGATCATTCATCGATTCACCTGACTACTTAATTAAAAAAAAAAAAAAAAGTATAGTATTTCTCATTTACTGTGAAACTGCAACAGCAATGAAAAACTAACTTGTTATTTTAAAAGCTCTCAATTGCCAGTGTTACACCTAAATGACTCAGAAACAACACAATGTGTTTTCAAGGAATGAATGTCACCTCACCCGAACATCTCACATATGAGATTGTTAAACATCGTGGTCCAATATGAGAGATGACAAAAGGATCTGGAGACTGGCTGCCGAGACTTGCTCCCATTCAGCCACCAGAGCATTAGGGAAGTGAGGCGGGCATTGATTTTGGGTTATAAGACCCGGCTCACAGTTGGCATTTCAGCTCATCCCAAAGGTTTTGGATGGATTAGAGAGGTCAGGGCTCTGTCCAAGCCAGTGACATTCTTCAACACAAAACTGGGAAAATTATTTCTTTATGGACCTGGATTTGTGCACAGAGGCTTTGTCAAGTTAAAACAGGAAAGGGCCTTCCTCCCCAAACTGTTGCTATGAAGTTGGAAGCACTCTGTTGCCTGAAATATATTTTACTGTAGATTCCCCTTAAAAAGTTATAAAGGGGCCTAGCCCAAACCATAAAGCAGCCCATGAGCATTATCCTCTTCCAACAAACTTCACAGTTGGCACTAGGAATTCAGAAGCAGCGTTCTCCTGGCATCCGCCAAACCAAGATTCATCCATCAGTCTGCCAGTTAGTAAAGCACGATTCATCACTCGAACACGACAACACGTTTCCGCTGCTCCAGGGTCTAGTGGTGGTGTATTTTATGCCACTCCATCCAACAACTGGCACTGTGCTTGGTGAACTTAGGCTTGAGTGCCATTGCTCAGCCATGGAAACTTAGGAAGTCTGTAACTTATTGAGTACTGACGCTGGACCACTGATTGACCATCCATTCTTTGAGCGTTTGTGGCTTCTAGACATTTCCACTTCATAATGTGTAAATGCAGTCTTGGCTGACGGTGTCAAGGAAACTAAGTACACTTACTCCAGAGCTGTACATATTTGAGGTACTTCTATTTTACTTGAGGGTTTTCATTCCATGCTACTCTATAATTCTACTCCACATTTCAGAGTATATTGTACTTTTTCCTCCCACTGTTGGTACCTCCAGTGTAGATTTTGATTTTTAGTTCCGAGATGGATTTTACCCATTGATTGCAACCCTGCAACACTAGGTGCTAATAATACTCACTTTAACTTGCCCCCAACATTTTCAATGCAGGGCTTTTAATTGCCATGGATATATTCATATTGCAGTATTACTACCTATGCCCGAGGAAAGGATCACTGATGGCAAGGTACAAATTTGATTAATTGACTTATTGGAAAGCATTCTATGAGACTGAGCGGAGACATATTTTACTGCAAATGTTTGTCAATGGAGATTTCATTGCTGTAAGCTTGATTTTATGTAGCTGAGCTGACTAATTACTAGAGGTAATATTGTGTATAACATACTGATTATTTTCTTTCACAATAACATTAAAAACTGTATACAGAGTGCTACATATTTAATATTTATTTATCCGTTACTGTGCAGTGAAAAAGAGATGAAACAGAATTTCAAAAGAATTTTCCATAAATGAAATAACACACTTACTTAATATCTGTGAACTTCACCAGTACACTTAATTCCTTATTTTACCAGTACCGTGATACCAGTATTAGTTCTTCATTAATAACCACACAAAGATTAATAGTATTTGACATATCCAAACCTTCTATTAAAAAGACAATATATTTAAACAGTATGTGAATTACCATTCTAACAATTAACAGTATAAGTTAACTATCAAGAACATGTTTTAGTTCTAATATGGTCCAATATCTACTGAAGCCCTAAGCGACCATCCATTCAAATATTTTTTTTTAACTCCGTTTTCACGTGACAATGGGATAATTATCTCGTGAGGTTTCTTGTGATCTCGAGATAACAAACCATAAATAAATACAGGGGTCGGCATGTGCGTTTGTTTAGCATAATTTCAGAAACTTTTCAGTGTCACTGGTTAGCTCACTTTGTTGAGCCCAAGACTCATAATCCAATGATTGTGTGTTCAACTCCCACTCTCAATGACTTTTCCCCCCCCTTCTTTTTTGTGTTTTTTTATCATCCTCTTCAGCAAAGTTGTTATGAAGAGATTCAAGGGAATCCAATCACACATTTCCCAATGGCTATTAAGGAAATGTGTAAGGTTAAATGGATTCCCCTGAATGAGAAGCACATGAATTTGCTCTGACTGGGAATGATGGGGAAATGAAGTCCATAGATTGATGGATGTGGACGAATCGCCGGGAGGCACAGAGTCTAGCAAATGCTTTATTGTGAGTCTCTTCATAAGAACTTTTTTTGAAGACGATTATGAAAAAGATAAAAAAAATATATTATATATATTTTGTTTTATTATATATTTTATATATTTATATTTCGATGGCTGCATAGGACTTCCGTAAATATCACTGCATTACAGTCACAATAGCAATTATCTTAACTTAAATGCCCAGATTATTATTTTATGTAATTAGAGTTTTAAAAAGGTACCATTTAGGTCTACTACTTTAGAATGTCAGACCCTTTGAGATGGGGGTGAACCCTGAGAGAACAAAAGTGTGAGACCACATTCACACATGGCAGGAAACCCAGAATTAATCACAAGCATAGCTGAAATGGAAAACACAATGCAGAGAAAAGTGATGTTGAACTGCAGTAGCAAATATGACAATGACTTTGACTTACAAATAATAAAAACATTTCCAAGTGATTCCTTCAACTGGTTCAAAGTTCATTTCCTATTATTTAGGTGTATACAGTAACACCTGACCCCTTCTTTTTGAATAAGCAGATACTATTTGCTGTGTTTTACAAGAGTCCATTCACACATTATCAACTGTACACTACAGACAGACATGGTCAATCACCATGTCACTATGTGGAGAAGGGAACGTGATGGTGGAGCACCTCTGTGTGTTCAAATGCAGCATTGCAGGTGAGGAGTACTCTGCCTCTTGAGACAAACAGTGCGAGTGAAGGTGTGAATTAAAGCTGAAGGCAAAGTTGTATATTGATGATTACAGCACACCTGTAACCTCAAACAAAACTTAGTAAACAAGATAAAAAAATTTTTATTGTTGGTAGGGAATGAAATCTGATATGTATTGAACTTAGGTAGCTTTCATCCACTGGAAAGGTTGGCAAAGATTTTGTTATCCTTTTCTTATTAAAAATGCTAACAACAATTTTAAGACAAAAACTATTTATTTTAAAGGAGTCCGCTAGAAATACGCTTATTAGCTACGGCTAAAGCCAGCGGTCAGTTAGCTTAGCTTAAAGACTGGAAACGGGGGTAAACAGCTAGACTGGCTGAATTTTGCCATTTGGCTACCTATTTACCCCTTGATCCAGTATTAATGCTAAGCTACGTTAACAGGCGGCTGGCTCCAGCAAGGACACACATGAGAGTGGTATCGATCTTCTCATGCAACTCTCAGTGAAAGCGAATAAGCATATTTCTCAAAATGTCAAACTATCCATTTAAGATTACAAGACAAAGCCACTTGACCCTTGCATTAGATATTGAAGGGTCAAATTACATTTAAGGCCTTTCAGATTCTTGATAAGTCCACAAAAGTGCACTGCGAAAGCAAGCTGGATCTTATTGGAGGAGTCAAACTAAAAGTTGATACTATTGCCAAGCTCTCCAACTGAGTGAAAGTCTGCAGGTAGGTTTTTACACCAAATTCAATAAATAAAAGAAATATTTTCAAGCTCAAAATAAGAGAGAATTCATGTGGGCAAAGGTCTCCGAGATCCCACATCCAGTGTACCGTGCAAGTTCAGACCATGTTGGTTTGGGTGTTGGGGCTGCAACTCAGCAGGTCCTGTACCTGGTCAAGAACCCAATGGATGTTTGGTCTCTCCTGTGGATTTGACACCATTATGGAGCTCAGCAGCATTTGCAGTCCTTCCGAGTAACTGTGCAAAAGCCAAACAGACACCAAATTAGAACAACTTAAGTTTGAGCCAAACCTTAATGAGTGACTTTTAAACTTAAGCATAAGCATGTATGGTTTACACCAATCACATGATTATTATTAAATTATTTCTGTTAATTTTGCACAAAATAGAACAGGAATTGATGTTTCCAGGACAGAGCTGATATTAGACACAACAAAAACAATACCCAACTTGTGTTTTCACTAGGGCTGACCCTGAATGGTTGAAGATTTGATGCTTTGATGGACGGAGCTTGATTCGACAGTTAATCTCACGTCAAAGCAGCGTTATGAAACGAGGATCAGACCATTTTGGCATGCTCAATGTCTGATTTTAAATAAAACTACCATTTTTCTCCCAATAACTTAATATACAGCCTATTATGATATAAATTACAACATATAAAGCTGTGATATAAAAATGTGAAAAGAAAGAAGAAATGTTTTTGAAGTGCGTGAATAAATCCAAAATTGTAATGGAGCCCCAGCTTCACCGTTGTTGTACCGAGTTGTCCACACCTCACGGGACATTCGTATCATTTACCACCATTTATGAACCACAAAAAAAATTATATAGTTTTTAAACAGTACTTGAAATAGACCAGGTAAGAACCGCAATGTGCATGCAGTTGTAGGTTGCAGTGCATGCAAAACTTGGCACAAGACCGGTGAATGGCAGGCGAGCAGATGGTCAGAAAATGGTCAACACCCGCAATCTCTGCCACACAGACATATGTGATTCAACTTTATGCAAGACTTGAAACTTATGATTCGACTATGTAAATCCTTAGTCGGGCCCTAGTTTTCACATTGCATTTTTGTTCAATTAAAGGAGGTAATTAAACTACATTTTGTTAGTTTGACTGCACTTTGTTAGCTCTGCACCTGTACTCTGCATAATGACAACAAAATTGAATCTAATGTTTACAAATTTGATCATTTAGACTCCCATTACTTCATTTAGACTAGCTACTTACTTCTAGCTACAGAATAACAACAGCTAGAAGTAAACGCAAGAAAATCCTGGTCTTTAAAGAAATTAAAAATTTACATTCATTTAACATGGTAATAACAACATATACAGTAGCTTGTATACAGTATGTCTGTTACACCTACAGTTACTTTGGAACCGTAAAATCCCCCCCCCCCAAAAAAAACCCTTTTCAATGGAAAAAATGAAGGGGATTTTTCTTAAAACTGACCTGCAAGACTGTGGGATGGCCACTGGATTCTGGACAGCCAGGGCAACACTGTCCCCCTTCTGAAATACCATGTCATACGGCCCTTCCAACATCATCATGCAGTAAAGCACACAGCCAAGCGACTGGAGGAGATGGGAAAATATGAAAATATAAGAAATAGAAGTAGTCAGTGAAGTGTCGACAGTAACAGTAGCACTTGGATTCAGAGACTTGGTGATGCCACTTAAGAAAGCATACACAACACACACGATGAGCAATGCAAGGCTTTACCCAGATATCAGTGCGCTCATCTATAATGCAGTGGCTCTCTACATTGAAGAGTTCAGGAGCCCTGTAGGAAATGGTGCACCGCTGGGCTGCCCAGTCCTGTATTGTCATAGCTTCTCTGGTTCCTCTAATCTGAAATAAACTCAATTTTATTAAAATCATCAGAGGGTAAGGATCATTTAGAGGTTACATGCTCTATTACACAGGTAAAACATTCGGAAAGGTAAAATAATAAGACAATTTATAGTAGCTGTTCATTTTAATGATGTGAAGCATTGTATTCTGTATATGTGCTTCACTGGCATTAAAAAGTTACTGATGAGGTAAATATGTGAAGTACAGCAAGAATTCACTCATAACATTATCTTCAAACGGACTTGATGAGTTGCCACTAGGGCTGGGCAATAAGACAATAACGATCATCATTGCAAAATAATTTTCCTCCATAACAATATCAGAAATGTTCAATAAATATTTGATTTAATTCATTTGAATCACAAACAAATCAGCACTTAATTTTTATATTGAGATATTTATTTTATTAAGGAAAAGAATTTTACTCCTGCATATTTGTTGAAAAAAGATTTTATCAAAATTGTTTTGAATGTTCTCCCTCAGATTTTTTAAATGATTCACTGTTTGGCAAGTGTGTCTCATGTTCTGACCATAAGGAATAGTTTAAAACCTCAATTACTCAGGAGCAAAAATCAGCCTTTAAACTTTAAAGAAATAATGATTTCACATTTATCGTGATAATTATCGGTATCGAATGATACACATTTTTGGCCATAACGCCCAGCCCTAGTTGCCACTCAATGTTCTGTTTTAGTATTTGGCTGTTAGACATCGCCTGATGTTTCATACAACTACCCTTACCTCTATCCTGGCACGGTTCATAGAGCCCAGGTCCATCAGAACCGGCCTGTCATCCTCATCCAAAAGCACATTTGTGGGCTTCAGGTCTCTGTCAAATCATTGCAGACATAGCATGTGTTCAGAGGTGTGCAATGCTGTTCATATAAAAAAGGAACATATAGGTTGCCATTTGGAAAAATAGTAAATGATAACGTGAATGTTTAAAGAAGCAATATGTACTTTTCAGCAGCCACTAGCGGTGCGGGTTTAAGACTGCAACCAGGCGTGAGCTCATCCATGTTCGCGCTTTAACTCATGAGCGAGCATAATGTGAAAATCCTATAGTGACGGTGTCTGCCCCCCGACCATCGAAATTATTTAAAAAGGTAAACAGAAGAGGAGCTGTGCATAAAAACCTCATAAAAATTAAAACCACAAGAGCAATAGTGCGAACGAATAGGAGAGTTAAATGTGGACTCTTAAACATCAGATCTCTCTCTTCTAAAGCTGTACTAGTAAATGAACTAATATCAGATTATGATATTGATTTATTTTGTCTTACTGAAACCTGACTGGGTGATGGAGAATATGTTAGCCTAAATGAATCCACCCCTCCCAGTCATATTAATACTCACATTCCTCGAGGCACAGGCCGAGGAGGTGGAGTTGCAGCTATCTTTGACTCTAGCCTACTAATCAGCTCTAAACCTAAACTAAACTATAACTCATTTGAAAGCCTTGTTCTTAGTCTTTCACACCCTAGTTGGAAATCACTGCAACCAATTCTCTTTGTTATAGTGTACCGAACACCTGGCCCGTATTCTGAATTTTTATCTGAATTTGCAGAGTTTTTGTCAACTTTAGTCCTTAAAAACGGACAAAGTTATTATTGTAGGGGATTTTAATATTCATGTGGACATTGAGAATGACTTTAGTACTGCGTTTATCTCTCTCTTAGATTCCATTGGCTTCTCTCAGAGTGTTCATGAACCGACTCACTGTTTTAACCACACCCTCGAACCTTGTTTTGGTGTATGGTATTGAAATTGAACATTTGCTGCATTAGTGTTCCCACAGAATCCCTCTTTGTCCGACCACTGTTTGATAACTTTTGAGTTTGTATTGCTGAACCACACGCCATTGGGCAAAAATTTCTATACAAGATGTCTGTCTGATGTGCTGTAGCTAAATTTAAGGATGCGATTCCATCAGCTCTAAATACATTATCAAGTCACAAAGTAACAGAGGACTCCTATGCTAGTTTCAGTCCCTCCCAAATCGATCATCTTGTTGATAGTGCTGCAGGCTCGCTGCGATTGACACTGGACTCTGTAGCCCCTCTAAAAAAAAAAAAAATACTAAAACAAAGACGGTCAGCTCCATGGTATAATACTGAAACTTGCAAATTAAAGCAAATATCGCGGAAACTTGAGAGGAATTGGCGTTCCACCAAAGTGGAAAATTCTCGTTTAATTTGGTAAGATAGTCTTAAAACTTACAGGAAGGCCCTCCGTAATGCCAGAGCAGCCTACTACTCGTCATTAATAGAGGAAAATAGGAACAACCCCAGGTTTCTTTTCAGCACTGTAGCCAGGCTGACAGAGAGTCACAGCTCTATTGAGCCAAGTATTCCCATAGCTCTCAGTAGTTACGACTTCATGAGCTTCTTTAATGATAAAATTCTAACTATTAGAAACAAAATTCACCAAGACCTGCCCTCAACTGGCACCGACTTATCTCTTAACTCAGGAACCTTAGAAACAGCTGTAGAACCAGATATATGTTTAGACTGTTTTGCTTCCCTCAATCTTTACCAACTAACTTCAATAATTTCTTCATCTAAACCATCAACCTGCCTCTTGGACCCCATCCCGACTAGGTTGCTTAAAGATGTTTTACCCTTAGTCAGCACCTCTATACTAGATATGATCAATCTATCTTTATCAACAGGCTATGTACCACAGTACTTTAAAGTAGCTGTAATTAAACCTCTTCTGAAAAAGCCCAAACTTGATCCGGATGTTTTAGCCAAATATAGACCTATATCTAACCTTCCATTTCTCTCTAAGGTTCTGGAGAAAGCAGTTGCTAAACAGCTGTGTGACTTTCTACAGAGCAATAGTTTATTTGAGGATTTTCAGTCAGGATTCAGAGCTCATCATAGCACAGAGACAGCACTGCTGAAAATTACTAACGACCTCCTTATTGCATCAGACAAAGGACTTGTCTCTGTACTGGTTTTATTAGATCTTAGTGCTGCATTTGATACCATTGACCATCAGATCCTATTGCAGAGACTGGAACATTTCATTGGCATTAAAGGAACCGCTCTAAGCTGGTTTAAGTCCTATTTATCAGATCAATTTCAGTTTGTACATGTTAACGATGAGTCCTCCATGCACGCCAAAGTTAGTCATGGAGTTCCTCAAGGATCTGTCCTCGGACCAATCCTCTTCACTTTATATATGCTTCCTTTAGGCAATATTATCAGGAAATATTGCAGATGATACTCAGTTATATCTATCGATCAAACCAGATGAAACTCATCAGTTAGCTAAACTTCAAATGTGCATTCAGGATATTAAAACCTGGATGACCTGTAATTTTCTAATGTTAAACTCAGATAAAACTGAAATTATTGCTCTGGGGCCTAAGCACCTTCGTGACGCATTATCTAAAGATATAGTTTCCCTGGATGGCATCGCCCTGGCCTCCAGCACCACTGTGAGGAATCTTGGAGTTATCTTTGATCAGGTCATGTCGTTTAAGTCTCACATTAAGCAAATTTCAAGGACCACCTTTTTTCACCTACGTAATATTGCGAAAATCAGGAACATCCTGTCTAAAAATGATGCAGAAAAACTAGTCCATGCATTTGTAACTTCTAGGCTGGATTACTGCAATTCTTTATTATCAGGCTGTTTGAAAAAGTCCGTTAAGACTCTTCAGCTGATCCAGAATGCTGCAGCACGTGTTCTGACAGGAACCAGGAAAAGAGATCATATTTCTCCTGTCTTAGCTTCTCTGCATTGGCTTCCAGTAAAATCCAGAATAGAATTTAAAATCATTCTTCTTACCTACAAAGCTCTTAATGGTCAGGCACCATCTTATCTTAAAGAACTCATAGTAACTTACTAACCCACCAGAGCACTGCGCTCCCAGAATGCAGGGTTACTTGTGGTTCCTAGAGTCTCCAAAAGTAGACTAGGAGCCAGAGCGTTCAGCTATCAAGCTCCTCTCCTGTGGAACCAGGTTCCAGTTTGGGTTCAGGAGGCAGACACCATCTCCACATTTAAGAGTAGGCTTAAGACTTTCCTCTTTGATAAAGCTTATAGTTAGGGCTGGCTTAGATGAGTCCTGAAAACATCCCTTAGTTATGCTGCTATAGGCCTAGACTACCGGGGGATTTCCCATGATGCACTGAGCTCCTCTCTCCTCTACTTTCTCTCCCTCTGTATGCAACCTCATCCCATTATTGCATGTTACTAACACAACTTCTCCCCTTTCTGGTGGTCTTGTGCTTTCTCGTTTCTCTCCTCCTATCACTTCCTGCAGGTGTTTCTGGCTCTGGAGCTGTGGAGTCTGGATCTGTGGCTGCGGGTCACCTGCTGCCCCCGTGTTCCTGCTCGACACCCTCTGCTACAACAACTATTGTTACTAGTCCTATTATTATTATTGTTATTATAATAATTAACACTACGACTGTTACCATTAACACTACTATAAATATCTGTACCATTTCTTCGTTTAGTCTATAGCAACATCACCTTTACTGTCTGTACCTCTGTGTGTGTATATTGTGTAGGCTGCCTCCCTCCCCTCTCTCTCCTTCCAACCCTCTCTTTTTCTCTCTGTTCCTCTCTCTCTCTCTCTCTCCCTCTCTCTCTCTCCCTCTCTCTCCTTCACCCCAACCGGTCGAGGCAGATGGCCGCCCACCCTGAGCCATGGTTCTGCTCGAGGTTTCTGCCTCTTAAAAGGAAGTTTTTCCTTGCCTCTGTCGCCTAGTGCTTGCTCTTGGTGGGAACTGCTGGGCTTCTGTAAATAGCATCATAGAGTACGGTCTAGACCTGCTCTTTTATGAAAAGCGCTGTGAGATAACTGTTGTTGTGATTTGGCGCTATATAAATAAAATTTAATTGAATAATCCGAAACACAACCGCTTTCATACAGAGATCCCACAATCAAAGTGGAAATACCGGCATGCCGACTGTGGCTTTTCACACAGACATGTTCAGGCTCTGTTACTTCAACGTTCCTGGCTCATACAGCGCAACGAGACAGCATCACACAACATGCTGTAAATTCCCACTGCAACGTTACAGTAATATTTTTATCAGCTGCAGGTTGAAGTAATCCATGCTCATTACATGTTACATTTACTGCATTTAGCCGACACCTGTTATCCGTAGTTAAGGCACACAAAACGATAAGTTAACAACACGTCAACAACCTAGGGCAGGTTAAATGCTCCGCTGCTGAAACACTTCAGTGTGAGTTGATGCCAGACAAAACCGCGGCACAGCCGCTGCCTGTGACTGTTCGCCTGACGCCATTATCCCACGTTTGCTTCCAGTTTCGTCCGTTGCCCTGTGCCCGCTCTGCTTGGCGAGCCGGTCTGTCACACAAGGATGACAACGGAATGAATATTTAACTGCATTACTGTTTAAAACTAGGGATGGGATGCTCGATACTGACGTGTTGACGCTGTGTCGAGATCCCGAAGCACAGACGCTGCTTCAAAGCGTGGTTCAAAACATCAATGTCACGTGACCGCAGTGAAGCGAGGCTTCGGTGTGTTTCACCCCTGTTTCGATAGGTGGCACACCTGCCTCTTCTACGCTTGATTGTTTGGAACAAACCACACACTAACTCATTTGACAGATTAGTTCCAAGGACACACAATCCTTTGATTTATTGGAGTGACGTGCTGTAGTAGCTATATTCGCACCTGTAGGCCAAAAACATACTTTTTTTCCAGCAACAAATGTTCCATGTTACCAAATTTTTCTAAGGCTGGGGATGTCAATTATGAAAAAAACCCTGACTAAGACCCAAAACAGCTGAATATTTCTGAATAAAATTCTTGACATAAAGCAAATGTGAGACATTGTTCCACTCTTCATTCATCATTCTTGAAACAACTTCAACTTTGCTCAGTTACGGATTTTTAATCCATTACATCCCATCACTGCCAGCACTCATTATTAATTATTATTACACTAGGGCCTATATCTTTCCTGCTAATTATCATTACACCTCTGTTAATAAGCTACTGTATAATACTGTAGATATCCACACATATTACTATATTCTTAGATTTGTACAGCCTACTTTATATTCTCTACTACTAATTTGTGAAAATGGATAGGGTAGCGGTTAAGACATATGCCTTTAGTGTGAGAGACGTGGGTTCGATTTCCACTGTGATACATGTGTCCCTCAGCACGACACTTGCGCCCTCTGACACAGCAATTGTGATTCCGTTTTGAGAAAAGCATCAGCTAAATAAGTGATTACTTATGAAACAACACACAGATGTGTTTTATTAAACACACTTTTAATGCACTCCCCATCTGCTGTCTCTGACAATCTGAAAGTATTTGTTTGTTTGTTGTATAGTGATTTCTCCGAAATCCTGTTGGTCATGTATTGATAAGACGTTTACAATTGTAAACGCAGGTCAGTCATTGTTTCAATGAAACCCCTACCAAGATGTGTCGATATCAAAAGTGACCAGTAGATGTCACCGTGGAGACGGGTGTCGAAGTGTTTCGAAGCGTTTCGAAGCCTCCACACAATTCCGGCACACTTCAAACGTTTCAATGTTTCACAAAGCCTCGCTTTGCCCATCACTATTTAAAACAGGTCAGATGCGCTGTATAATTAACCTATATTTTAATCGCTGTCTTCACAATTAGCTAATCGTGTTCCTTCAAACCACATTTTCTATTTGAAAACGATTCATCGTTCAGCCCTAATGTGGAGATTACCTGTGTGCATAGCCTTTTTCATGAATGGCCTTGAGTCCAGAGCAGATGCCACGTAAGATCTGCAAAATCTGTTTTTCAGGCATTGAGCTCCCCTTGTCTCGTAGCTTCTCCAGAACTGACCACAGACTGCCTTTCTGTTAACCAAACACAGTAACATCCCAGAATCAGAACATTTTCCTCAAGGTTATTCTGATCACACCAACCGCTGGATCAACTTACTCTAATATAAGGCAGAAGTAACCAGGCTTCAGTCTTGCCTCCACGATCAACAAAGGTGTGGGCAACCAGGCTCAAGACGTTGGGGTGATTAAACACCTGATGCATCTCCACCTCTGTCTGAGCCTCCTGACGGCCTTCACGGTCATGGCACAGGATCCTCTTCAGGGCATAGAAGCGCCCATCCTTTACCCCCTCTACCAGATCAACATAACTGAACCCACTGAAGAGAGGATGCAGAGGGATTAGAGTTCAGGAGGAGCATTCAAATGCAAACTGGACTTTAAAAAGGACATTGTTATTTGTCATCAACTAATCCTATAAAAAGACCAGAATCAACTATGCAATAGCCACTCTGTCTCAGCCCCAAGTCCAATGGTTCCTAGTGAAGATGTCAATGTTTAAAAAAGGAGCCACAGTTACATTTTTTTTTTTACAGGTTAAATCATTTCCTCTAACATTGGGCAATATATTTTTCAGAAATGTTCCTTAACAAGTAATAAATAGGACTATTTGGTGTTCTGGTTTGTATTTACAGCAGCAGAACATATGTAGGATTGACTGAAAAAGACCTACCTCAGCTATGTGTTTTTGGAAAACAATGCTTTGACTCCAAACATAACGTTAACACCTGTAGGGTCAATTAAGTTTTGCTCTTTTCGTGGGATTGATGACAACCGACTAAATACACAGTTTCAACACACTTAACCTTAAAGGTAGATTAAAAAAAACACACAATGTCAAGATGTTTTCTTACCCTTCGTCTAGTTTCTGAACAAAGTAATATTTTTTGTTATCGATGGTAATGGCGCCACGGGAGCAAATGCACAGGGTCTGCCCCATCTTGACTGGTACATTGTTTAACGGCAAGCTTTTAAGGGACTGGGACAAAAAGTACAAATTTAAAGTTATTTGAGGGAAACAGCCAGGACAAATACAGGCAGTGATGCGATGTTGCTTACTATCTACAATATTAATTATTGAAAGAAAACTGAGTGACATTCTCCCATTGTAGGAAAATATGTCAAGACAGAATAAAACAGACTGCAAACTGCTACGTTAGCTAACATCACGAACATCCAACGCAAACAACATTGCAACTTCCAGGCTATAAAAGCGACATTAACGTCAATTTTATCTCTCCAATCTAAGTGTAACTAACTAACTACCCGACACAAAGGCCAAATATACAAAACATATCAATGCTACAATTGGTGACGTTACGTCTTTATTCTTACCAGCTAGCTTTGTGTTTACCATGTTAGCTTGCTGTCATCATATTCTTCTTTTTCTTCTTCTTCTTCTTCTTCTTCTTCTTCTTCTTCCGCCTCCTCCTTCTCTTCTTCTTTTGTCTGTTTGATGGCCGCTGGCAAACAGCTTTTAGGTGCATTACCGCCACCTTGTTGATTGGAGTGTGCAGGTGTGTTTCAGAACACTTACTACTAAAACATTAAAGTCTCATAATAAAATATTGTATAAAAATATTAGTCCTTTATCCTACATCAACCTGAACTCCTCTGCAAAATGTAGGGTATCTAATACCCAGTGTCACGTGATTTCTTTGGAGGGTAATTTTAAGTTTCTTGTTGACATCCAGGAGAGTAAAATCCATGCTCCACTGTTTCCTGTAGTCCGCACAGGAAATGTGTGCGTTTTGTGAGGGCTGACAGGTTATTGCATTGCATGTGGAATAGCATATTTATGTAATTTCTTTAATGTTCTCCATGTTTTGCTGTAAATTACAGTAAGTTTACCTGTGTATGAAATGTGCTATACAAATAAAACTGACTTGACTTCTTTTTGTGTTTTTAAAGGCGGTCGGCAACCAGTGTTTAGGTGCAGACCATAGACTTTATATAAAAAGGTGCAGACCATAGACTGGTCCAGATATCTGGGAGAACTCTTTTACTAGATAAAACTACTGTATTGGTTTCCTCAAAGGATATTTAAATCCCACTTTTCAACCATATCAATTGCTTCCTGAATCCTCCCATTAATATATAAGACAGGCCTACCCCTTTCCATGATGATATTAAATCACCTGCCAAAGATCTGCCAATATCTGTTCTGTTTTATCAATGCTGAAAGCCGTGCATGGACTAATTATACTCCCTTGTGGAGTACTTACTCAAATAGTCCTTCATATATCTTTTTCTTCTTCTTCTCTTGTAAACAGTGTACGAAGCTTGTTTGGCACAAGTTTGGCACACAGCGCTTGAAGAAGACAAGCGGTATGAGCTGCCGAGTTTGAGCGGAGAAATGATGGCGGATTACGAGCAAAACAGAAGGAGTTCCGCCAACGACGGAGGTGATATTAGTGCAATTTTTTCGTCTAATATGTGGCAGAAAAATAATCAGTAGTTAGTGTTCGTTAGTTTGCTCTTCTGCTTAACTTATCTTCTACAACTGGCCATAACTAATTTTAGACAGAGGAAAACTTCATTAAGCTAACGTTAACTTGATGTTAGCTACGTGTCATTGGCTAGTTAAGGCGAACAGTAACAGTTAGCATTGTTTTATAGATGTTTCCTACTTAGCTTTGGGAATTGGGCTGACTATAACTAACGTTAACGTTACCTGCCTAAAGCTGCTGCTAACGTTAGCCAGGTAATAAAGCAAATACTTGCTTGCAGTAGCCGGTGTTTTGTTTGCTTGCTAACCTGGCGTTAGCCTAGCTAGTGTGCAAGTAGCTAACCTAAGCTAACGTTAGTTAGCGGAGGAGAACACCATATGAATGAATAACAATGTTATTATCTGCTCTCAGACCCTGCGTGAAGTACTCAGAAGTTAACTTAATCCCTGATATTGTAGGTAAAATTAGATATTTATGCACATACAGTCCCTAGGTGGACTTTTAACACAATTAAATGGTAGAGTGGCTGGCTAGAAACCTACGATAACGTTAGCCACACAGGTAACGTTAAAGGCCATAGCTTTTTTTTTTTTTGGATAGATTCTCTAATTCCCAGGAAACTGTTGTTCACCTTGGTGAGTTGTCTTGCCTCAAGCAGGGCCGCAGGAGGAGGAAGGCAGAGTGAAAACTAAGCCTGTCTCTTGTAGCACTTGGGGAGGAGAAGGGACAGCAGTCAAACGCACATCCAAGCATCTCACACCTGAAGATGAGGAAGAGTCCTCAGGAGACCGACCAGCACCCTGCAAAGTCTCCAAGATAGGCTTTAGCATGAGCAGTCAGTTGGGGAAGAAGTCGAACCCCATATCTATCAAACTTGGAGCAACAGTGAGTGTGTAGCAATGTCTAACTGCTTGCAGACCTTTTGTAAAACAAGGTTTATATTTGATGTACGATACTGCAAGAAGTGTAAATAATGTTATTCTCATAACACACTGCTCTGAGAGGCTCCCCAAAAAATGCAGGAGAAAATTATCAACAGTTACAAACACATACTGTTTTTAATGTTACCTCTCATTGTGAGTGATGTTTGTAATGAAGATAAAGTGAGCCAGGTTCAGGTGTGTAACTGTTAAAGACTTTACACAGCATCATTTGTTGGCCCTGGCCATGAAGACACAGTGCCAGCATCCAGAGAGTGAACACATGCAATGCCAACACCAAATCTGAACAGAAGTGTCCAAATAAGGTTATTGTTCACCCCTCTATACATGTGTGAACATGGATATTGGTTGAAATCAAGACACTATGCTTACCTAAGTTAACCTAAAGTCATGTTGTGTGTCATTGAAGCCACATGGAACACGTTTTACATAGAATCAGTCTGTAATGAAACAAAATAAAGATTTTCTTGACCTAACAAATGGATAGCAGTGCAACCACTGACAAGACAGCTGCTTTAGTCAGTTCACCAAACAGGCAGAGAGGTGGGACAGAGCCTGACCTACTGTTTTGGAGAGTGTCACCTTTAGCTTACTTAAGCAGTTGACCCTATCATGACCTGGGGAAACCTCTCACAGTACCCCTAAATTCCTTCAGTGTTGAAACAATTAGCTTTCGGTATGAGCCAAAATTGAAGTAAAAGTACCAGACATTTGCTTGTTAATGTCCTCTATTGTGAGGATTTGCAGCTCTTTTGCATTTTAAGAAGAGTGTAAAGAAGTGTGATGCTGCTAGGTTGTGTTGTTTTATTTTGTTTCCTTAAATCTTGTCTCCACAACTTGTTCTAGAAACCCAAAGAGCCTGTACCAACAATTCCTCCAAAAAAGGCAGGGCTGGCGTCAGTTTTTAATGAAGATGATGATGTAAGTGCACATGCAGTCAGTAATGGTGTGGTTGTACAAATCCATTAACAACAAATGTGCAGAGGCTGACTTTAACCTTCTCTTGTCACATAGAGTGAACCGGAGGAGATGCCCCCAGAAGCAAAGATGAGGATGAAGAACATTGGCAGGTGTGTGTGTGTGTGTATATATATATATATATATATATATATATATATATATATAATCTTGGAATTAATCTAGATTAAAATGGCTCATTTGAATTCTGCCGAAGGCAATCAGAATATGTGTGCTACCCAAATAATGACTAAAAGTAAGTCTTTGAGAACAGGTTTATTAAGCCAGTTGGCGCATTAGACCAGGGGCTCATCTCCTGTTTCCAAAATGCATCACAAACTGCTTGAGAAAACCATTGGGAAGCTTCTTAAAAATAAATTTTCCTTGAAGCAAACCCGGCGGCTTCATAGCTGCATCCATGTTAGCACATCACATTTGATGTGGTAATTTCACAGTAGGCATACACACAGGTTCGAAGACTCGTTCTCGCCCCCTACAGTGCAATTCGGCTAGGTATACATCTGCGCTAAAATATCAAGGTGAAAGTCAGCATAGCTTGCGTAGTAGGCCTACATTTGCAGCCTGCTTTCCCGGTCTACTGTGAAGATCCTGTTATTTGGCTGTGAGCATCCTGGTGGTCCAGCCTGCCACCTATGGACTCTACCCCCTCCCGCCGTATCTAAATACGGTAGAATGGCTGCGTTTCGGGACGAATGAAACACCTGTTTCAATCGTCCCGACAGTGACTCTTGACGTTTAAACTTCACTAGCTTCTAAACTGTAAAACTTTGACATTTAAAACTTCAGGATGTGTTAAAGTACTAACTAATCTTTTATTTTTGATCATGACCATGGCGCATGGAACAATAAACACAACTTGTCATTCAAAAAAAAAGATTGCTTGAGTAAATTTACTTTCTGTGAGTGAAAACAGCTTATCCAGCTGATTTTTCCCTGTTCTGTTAAGTACTGTGGACTGTATGTGCTGAGGTAGTTTGGCATATCAGACTTGTATGGGCTCCGAGAAAATCGCTGTGTTTCATTCGTCCCGCGTTTCAATCGTCCTGGCTCTCCCCTATAGACCCAGCTCCCAACCCAACTTTGAGAATAGATTAACAGCAATATTTGTTTTATCGCCCAATAAGAGTCTCACGTTAACACTGATAACGGCCCACCATATATATATATATATATATTATTTTTTTTACACTGATCAGCCATAACATTATGACAGGGAGAGTGAATAACAGTGGGTTAGTGGGTGGGATATATTAGGCAGCAAGTGTACATTGTGTCCTCATAGTTGATGCTTCAGAAGCAGGAAAAATGGGCCAGAGTAAGGATTTGAGCAACATATTTATTAAACCTTTATTTAACTTGGAAGTCACATTGAGATTAAAACCTGTTTTACAAGTGAGACCTAAAACCTTTGACAAGGGCCAATTGATGATGGCTGGATGACTGGGTCAGAGCATCTCCAAAATGGTCTGCAGCGTTCAGTACCTATCAAAAGTGGTCCAAGGACAGAGAAGCTGTGAACTGGCGGTGAACAGCTAAGGCTCACTGATGCATGTGCGGCGCAAAGGCTGGCTCGTGTGGTCCGATCCAACAGCTAAGCTACTGTAGGTGAAACTGCTGAAAAGACTGATGTTGGTTCTGATCGAAAGGTGTCAGAATACACAGTGGACTCCTTGACGGCCTGGGCTAAAGGGAGACCTACACTAGACGAGCAGGTGGTCATAATGTTATGGTTGATCAATGTATCTACACAATGTACATTGTAACCGTTTCCTCATTGTCTGCTTTTATCAAAACATTTGACTTTTGAATCTTTTAAATTAATTGCTACATTTCACATTTAGTTATTTATCTGATCTAATCATCTAACATGTTTCTATTTGAGTTTCAAATGACTAATCTGCAGTCTTTTCAGGGAGACGCCAACATCTGCAGGACCCAATTCCTTCAACAAGGGCAAACAGGGCTTCTCTGATCATCAAAAACTCTGGGAGAGGAAGATGAAGGCCAATGCAGACAAACTGTAAATGACTTTCACAGTTTTTGTCACTAATTGATACATTTGTATAGTTTAAACAATTTCAGAGATATCTATGAAGTCTCAAAGGATTCCTCACTGTAGCCAATGCTTTGTGGATGATGAGGAATACTTTAAAATTTCTATGATACTCTGTGACTGAACTCAAGTTTACGTTTCTAACCACTACCCGGCTGATGCTGACTGAGAGGAGAGGTATCAGAGTGTCAAGCCTCTGTGACGAGAGATGCAGAATGGGAAGATAGGACAAACAAATTAGCCAGAATATTGTAAAATTCGCTACAGTTGCTGTCTGCTGGCTAATGAAAAAATCTAGCATCTAAGAGCCCTCATGCCCCTTTTGTGACATGCTTGTTCCTACCCAAAACTGGTTAGGTGTGCTGAGCAAGCTCTGTGTTGCTTGTCTAATATTTGTGTAAAAATGTACAAAGTGTGATAATGTTTTATTTTTAAATCCACAAATGGGAGTGTGTGTTTGAGTGTTATGTTAACGTGTGTGTGTGTGTGTGTGTGTGTGTGGGTTGGGGGGGGCTAGACAGTACAGATGGATTTAGTTTCTCTACATCAATGTACAACCCTTTTGTTTTCACCAGCTGTGCCACATCATAGGCAGTAAGTGTTTGACAGGAAATGTCTTTTTTATATATTTTTTTTTTATGTTTGAGCTTTGTTCCAGTAATTCTGGTTTCGCATACTCTACACTATTCTGCCTGCTTCACTCAATATGGCAAAAAGTTCACAACGAAAGGACTGATAAGTGTGTTTTAGTTAAAAACTGTGTGAAGATCAGAGACATACAGCTGTGACATGGATACCAGGGTGCTGGTACAGTCAAATTCAATTATTTCTGTGTGGTTAAAATATAGGTTAGCAACAGTAAGGCACAATTACCTACTACTTTCAACCTCACTTTCACATCAGAAAGCCCCAGTACAGCCCTAATCCTTTTGGTTCAGATAAAATAAAAATAAAAACTTTAAATTCTTCTGTGGGTTACCCAACTGTTGTGCGTCCCCAGATTAATTATATTAATACCCATTGTTACAACCCGTTTTGTCAGACATCTCCCTTGGATACACATTTAAAAGCCACTTATAATAAAAAAAATTAGATGGTATGTAGTGTGTGAATTTTCTTTTGCAGACACGTCCACTGTAACAGAATACACAATGAACTACACCTCACAACAAAAGTTTAATTAGTTATTAATTGTTAATAGTGAATCTGTTTTTGTCTAGTACAAATCCTTTAGCTGTCACATTTATTATTTCTAATGCTTTAAATTGTGGAGCTGGTAGCTAATTGATTATTCAACATTGTTACATATATATATATTCTTGATACAGATGGAAATGAAAGACTACACTCCATACACACATTTTTGGACCCTCGGCATAGAGCAAAGGGTGACTCACTTCCCCCCCTACATTAGAAAATTATACATTTGGCATCCATAGCATCATGGAAATTTCCTTGACACATTTGTTTTTTGTGTAGTTTCAGTGAAGAATATAGCCATTGTAACATAAATATGATGTACTTCATGTTTGGAAAACGATTGTGGTTTAATCATTGTTCCTGCATGAGTGAAGCTTCATTCTTTTATTGGGCATGGCCTTCCTCAAAGATATCCAGAAGTTGCTGGTGGCTTTGGCAGGTTTGCCTGAAGTCCAATCCAAACTGGGTAGCACCTTTAAGGCCCTCTGGACCAGTGTGGGGAGCGGGGGGTCTGGCTGGATGAGGGATGGTGAGGTTCTACAGGTCCATATTAGCAGAAGTTTGAAGATTGAGTTTTGTAGCAAAGCCTGAAGATAATACACATTAAAACTGATTTATCCTTTAAGACAAACTTAACCACTTAACAGAAAGTTGTTCAACTGGATCCGTTGATAACATTGTTTTTTCCTGTGGCTTATGTTTTTAAAGAGCCACTAGTTTCAGTTTATGTCAGTAAATCTGTGAAATGAAACTAATGTGGTTATTTGAGAAATGCATTCAGGATTTATTTTACTGGGACACAGAACCCAGAACACAAAAGTTTCATGTCATAAACACGCACGTTTAATGTGGTAAAGACTGGTCAGAAAGTAGAAGAAAAAAGTACTATATGCAATTTATAGTTAACGACCAAAACATGTTCGTCCTCTAATATTGTTTGTATTGCCAAGTTAATGACAGGCAGGGTATCTGCAGATGTTGTAAAGTCTTAAAAAACATTAAATTTCCTCAAAAAAGGCATGAAAGGTATTAAAAGTCTTGCTATTTAAATTGATAAAGGTCTTGAATATCTTCTCATGGTTGCCGAAGGCAGTAATGTTAGATATAAAATGTTTGTTCTGCCAGGAAATATCATACAGATATAAACTGAAAGTGGGATTTTTGTGATATAGTAATAAATAATTCTAGGCCACATTAACATGTAAGTTATGTGGCCATACTTGGATATTGATATGAATGCTATTTTCAGGTCGGAAACTCATAATTCTGGTAATATTGCATGAACGCAGCATTAGTCTTCAACTATGTGAAAAGTAGGCCTACCATAACTCCTGATTCAAGGACAAAAACAGCATTGCTGTTGGAGAGGTAGTCAGCTGACAGGAGACAGATAACCATTCGGCTTTTCTGTATTGCAAGGACCACATCATCTGTATATGCTGCAATACAAAAAGGAAACCATCAGAACCATTTGGCATCAACACACAGACACACACATTTAATCCTCTGACCTCCTCCAGGAAGCACGTCCCTCTCCAGCAGACAGAGGCGAAACCCCCACTGGTCCTCTAACACTTGGGGCAGCAGCACTTCCACTGGCCTCTGGGTGGCAATACCCTCCTCACAGTTCAGCGGGTCCATGCATGATAAACATGCTGCCAATAAAAGTAATTGTTAATTTACTTTACCACATGAAAATTTAATGCAGATACAGATATACACTGAACATGTTGGCCCACCTTCCGCATCAGTGTCCGGTCCTGCTTGGGAGGAAAGGGTCAAAACTCCCTCCTCCTCTGCTGATGGAGGGCTCCACACGTATGACAGAAGCACATCAAACTCTTTCTCATCTGATTAGCGTAGGTGGATATGAGAGAGTTGTGTCACAAAACACAATCTGGGTTCATGAATGTATTCAGCTTTTGCAACTCTTTGAACAAGCGATAAGATCAGTCAGTGATTGTCACCTAGCGTTTTGTCACCACTACATAAAGTGCATTATCATAGTGTGTTGCCTACATTTTAAAAGTAAATGCACTGGATTAATAATATTTCAAGGTACTGTAGTAATGTTTCAGGTTGTTTATTAATGCAATGTTTTGTAGGGTTAAAGACAAAATTAAAGTTGAAAAACATTGAATCTTCTTTGTGGTAGAACTTTATGTACAAGTGAAGGAGGAGCTGCTGTTGCTGTCAGGATGCTAGAGTGTGTTGATGCACTGTTTGCCTTTGGGTTTGCACTCTATGTTGTGTGTGTGGGCATGTGTCTACATTCTGACCTCCATCATGTTTTCGATTTCGGAAGTGGGATCTGTAGATAAGCTGTATTTCCAGCCATTTCACATGCAAAGCGATTCCCAGCCCGGCTACCAGCAGCAAAGACACAATGGGATACCCAATCAGCGTCGGCCATTTAACTGAAACCCAGTTCAAAATACACTGATTAGATTGTATTATGTATTTAAAGCAGTAGTCATTGCGGTAACAAGCTGAAAACCCCATTAAATATTATCGTACAGCCAACAAGCAGCAACACTAGCATTCATTTTGACTCGTGTTTGTATCCACCCGATGAAGGTAAGTCCAATATACAGTATTCACTCTCCTTTTAGCTCCGTTTTGGTCTCCACCTCCACCACTTTCTTCACTAGCAAATTGCTAACTTTGCCTGTCTGCCGTTTGCTGATGGGTAGGTATTGTACATATGGTTTATCTGAGCTTCTTGCTAAAATCAGCTGCGACCGAAAATGACGGATGAGCGGTGAGAGTGAACTAGCTGCAGGCCAAAAACCCACAAAAAAATGACCAGAAAGACACTAAGAGTGATCCATTTCAAATCAAGCTTAGTCATTTGATCTGTTGAAAATAAAAATCTGGATTCGTACAGCTTTAAGTGTTGCGTGCACAAAACTAAACCTATTTTTTCAAATTCACCATAACTGTGTGATTGGCTATAGAAATAAGCTGCTTTATGGATGGTGTCACTGATGAGCTCACTGAATTGGTTAACATAATTCATGTCCTTATTGGATGAATCTTTGAATCTCAGACCGAGCAATAACTTAAAAATGTCTTTCTTTCTAGCCGTAGGACTATAAATAGAGATTCTGGCAGCCTTTAGGTTCTCAGCTTTGAGCACTGATTTTTGCATTCACTGTGGCACATCCAGCTGCCTTAGTCACTAGGTCAAAACAGCTTGCCTCCACCAGCAGCGGAGGCCTTCACCACAACTTCTACTTGTGCTCTTGTGGTGTAAAATAAGTAAAACAACCTGCCCTTTCATGTGGATACACTCAGCGTGTTCTACATTATGTATTATCATTTGATATTACACATATTTATATATATATATAACTGTAATGCAACAAATATGAAAAATACAGTATGAATGAAACAAAGACATGAAGGTGACAATAGAGTACCTTTCATTTTCTTCTTGAGCTTGATAGTGACACTGCTGTTTGCAACAGTATCCCTGGCGATGCAGGTATATGCGTTGTTCAAGTATTGTGGAGTCACCTCTTTTATGATGGCTCTTCGTGTGACCTTGAACTCTTGAAGACTCACTCTCTCCGATCTGAATCAGGGGAAGAATTTCAGCTCCCTTGCATCCTTATGAAAGCTTTTTATGAAAGTCAGGCTGAATAATTATGTTTACAACCTTTTTACTCAATTCTAACAAGCAAACACTGGCACAAAGCAAATGAAAGCAAACATTGACTGAGGAGCTGCAGTGACTTACTGTTGTCTCTCCATGTGTAATGGAGTCATATTCTCCGTTTTGCCACCATAATGCATGTACCACTGCACATCTAGTGAAATATTTATCGCAAATGAAAAATAAACCTCACATGTCAGAGTGTGAGACTGACCTGGTACGGGAACAAAAACATGGCCATTATAATCTCACCCTTAATGTCTTAATAAAAGTGATATCATAATTCTTATTTTCATACCAATTTATTAGATGCAAGAATGAGTCATTCAAACAAAGATCATGTCATTATCAGGGCTGTTTCAGATGTTAAGTTCAATTACAATTAAAACCAGTCGATATTGGAATGACATGTTATAGTAGTAGTTTACAAAACTATGGTTTTGAAAGTTTCACATAAGCAAATCAGTTCTGAGTTAATGCATATCAACTCTGATAGCTGTAGGATTATCTCATAGGACATTTTGATACGCTTACCCAGCTCCACTTCCTCCGTTGTGTTGCCATGAGGATGTATAATCCTGGGAGAGTAACTTGGTGTGTAATGAGCTGTTTGGGCAGGAGAAATAAAGTCACACAGTTCTGTATTACAATCTGGTTTACTGTGTGTTAAAAAAACACTGTTTACTGAATAAATCTGATCTGAGCTCCACTTATGTGTAATAGCCATTTATGCTATATAGAAGATTTAAAATGGCTAAATTTAAACAAGACAAACAATTTTATTGCTACTGTGTAAAGGGAAAACTGCTAGTAAAAAGCACCTTGTTTGTTTAAAGTGTTTGCAAACCACGTCATTGAACTTTTGTGTACATAGAAGTACATTTAAATTAAAAGTTTGTAATACACTACTTTAGAATTCACTTAATTTTGTGCATAACAGAGCAATAATAACACCAAATTCAACACCCCTGCTCCCCATTCACACCTGAGACCTTGTAAAACTAACGAGTCACATGACACCGGGGATGGAAAATGGCTAATTGGGCCCAATTTGGTCATTTTCACTTGTGTTCTCACTTTTGTTGCTAGCGGTTTAGACATTAATGGCTGTGTGATGTGTTATTTTGAGGGGACAGCAAATTTACACTGTTATACAAGCTGTACACTCACTACTTTACATTGTACTAATGAAGAACTGCTCTTGTGACACCCTTTGATGTGTTTTGTTATAGGGTAATCTATTAGTGCTCCATGAAAACAGGATATTCTAAGTTTTGAATAACAGTAGTCCTTACATTTTTAAACTATCTAACGTGAATGTATTATCCCCATTCAAAGTTAAAAAGAAGGTAGTAAAGAAAATTGCTTATAGAGTGAGATGATTACCACAATTCTACTACTCCTCTCTGAGGTAGGAAGTATATTTGTTTCAACTAATCATAAAATCAATTTAAAACCTTAAAATGTGCAATAAACAATTAAACAAAGTTATGTGCATCTGGCTTGGAAGTGTTTTATTATTATTATTGTATTGTAGTTGTATTTTATTTTATTTTACTGAGTGACATGGGTCCCCTCATCTCTTATATACCATGGCCAAGGAAAATACTAATTGCTGAGTGGTAATAGGTTTTCATTAAAATTCTATTCTAAAAACCTCAAACATTTTGTTATTCAGTTTAACCAGTGTAGCATAACAATAGCACTTAATGCATTTGCTACTTAAATTAACTGTTAACTCTCATTGGTGTTCACCCAGCCATGGATAAATTGACTTGTAACAAACTACATGACTAAAGTCTCATCCATGCTAGCTGTGCTGTGCTGCAGCAAACATCAGCATGCTTACACGTTCAATTTACCAGTTGGGACACTACCTGAGCCATGACTGATTAATGTTTCACAAGTCCAAGGGAACACAAGTACAGAAAAGAATTGAGCAGATTGAGACAGGCCTCATCTTGTTTGAGTATGTTAGCATCTTTATATTGCTAATTAGCTATTTCTAATTAGGGAACATGTCTATAAAAACTTCCACGACGATCCATCCAATAGTTGTAAATGTAAATGCTTCGTATTTGTATAGTGCTTTTCTAGTCTCACTTTTACACTACATCTGCATTCACCATTCACACACATTCATACACTGAGCCTAAGTGCTCAAACAGAAACTAACATTCACACACATTCATACACTGGTGGAATAGCCACATTGTGGAGGCATTTCACTCACAAACACAAATGTCAACGTCTTATTGGTGCTAGAGGAAAAGTCAGAAGATGACTTCAATAATTAAAATACATCATGTGACGACCATTAATAAAAATTATGTGACCCGCTGGTGGCGTTTGCCTGGCCATGGCATGAGTGCAGGTGGAGAAAACATCATAAACTATTGCATTTTCCATTGTTTTTGTATTTCAGGACACAGTGATGTGTATTATTGAGTACTTAACCTCTCCAAATAAATGCACACACACACACACACACACCACTTACGTATGGCTGTGACATTAACCGCCCTCCTGAAGATCCATTTGACTCCTTGCTCAATAATTTCTCTATCACAGAAATATACACCCGTATCATGTTCACTGACTTTGCAGAGGGTTAACAACCCACTCGTCTCACAGGAAGCCCTAGACTGCTCAGACACAGCTTTGTTTTCCTGTAAGAAAACACACTTGTCTGAGTTTTTGCTGTAATTTATACCATTGTGATTTACCATTTTTAAATGAACAGTCCTGTCCATGTGTGTACTTTACCTTGTACCAGGTGACATTTGTGTTGTCACTACAGCTGAGACCTGGGCAGGGAACCTCCCCACCTGCACCCACGACCAGTATTTCACTGCTCTCATCAGGCTGGAAACATCCCAGACTGTTTTTCTGCACCACCTGTAGATGGAAAAACACCTTGCTGCCACTAGACAGCAAAGACCTTAACACTTAATAAAGTTAAGTCATATACGGTCTACACACATCGAAATAATAATTTTTTTTTGCCATTTAGTACACCAATAATTTTTTTCTGTGTTTCTGTTTAGCCACATTAGAGAGAAACAGGAAAGGCAGGGAAGAGAGGGGAAGACATGCAGCAAAGGGGCTGGGCACTGTGGTAAAGACCTTACGATATGCTTTCTACCAGGTGAGGTACTGGGTGCCCTAACAAAAATGTTTTTTAAAGTTGCTACAAATGTTTTAATTACTATTTATGAATTATAATTTTTTTGTTTAAAAAAAGTATTTTGGGGTTGGTTGGGAGTATCTGTGGCAATAACGCGTTGAATGTATTTCTTTAAATTGTACATTGTTTCCCTATATGTTTACAATATAGCAATCTTCTTTTCTCCTGCCTTTGTTACTGCAATGCTAAATGTTGTGGTGTATTAGAGCCACCATAGTGAACTGTCAATAGTAATAATTTGAATCATTCTGACAGCAGCCAATCACGTCAAAGGAACAGGAGGCTGTGTTTTGGCATGACAGAAGAGTACAGAGACACAATCACATGTAAACACTGCTGTGGTCGACAAAAGGTCGACAGACGGCAACATGCTAAACATTCAGCTAACAAATTGCTCATTTCCCCTCTCCATACTGGTCTCCAATAAAAATCCACAAAATCCACAATCCCCTTTGTGCAAAAATGCATTCTGAAGCTTAGCTTAGGCTAACACGAGGCTCTAGCAGTCTGATTTACTTTTCTAAGGTAGTCATTTTTGTACAAATTGCAAAAAAATGTGTTCAGAATTTGGCTACAATATCAGATGGGTTAAGCACATTATATGCTCGCTGTCAAGTCTACTCTGCCTCCGGAGAATGGGCCACCGTCAGTATCCACAGTGGCTGTGAAAAGAATCCTGTCATCTTGGACCCTCACCAGTTTGCATTCAGAGACAACAGAGCCACAGAGGATGCCATCTCCACGGCCCTCCCCTCAGTCTTTAAACACTTTAAGAATAAGAACACCAGAGTGCTTTTCGTTGATTTCAGCTCAGCATTCAACAATATCTCCCCCATGAAACTGATAGCACTCTGGGCTTGATTACTACACTCTGGAACTGGATATTCTACTTTCTCACAAATAGACCCCAGACAGTTCAGATTGGCAGTCATACCTCCTCCACTCTAGTGCTCAGACCCCTTCTGTTCACGTTGTACACATGACTGCATCCCCAGACATGGAGAGAACTCTGTTGTGAAGTTTGCAGACGACACCACCACCATTGGCCGGATTTCAAACAATGATGAGACTTCAAATCAGGAGGAGATCAATCTTGCAGAGTGGTGCACAGAGTAACCAACCGCTTAATGTCAGCAAAACTAAGGAGCTGATCTTGATTTCAGGAAAAAGGATATAAAGACACGCCCCTGTCTACATCAGTGGAGCTGAGGTGGAGCTGGTGAACAGTTTTAGGTTCCTGGGAACCAACTTCACAGAGAACCTGACATGGTCATCACACATTTCCATGCTGGTGAAGAAAGCTCAGAAATTACTGAATTTCCAAAGGAAACTTAAGAAGGCAAAATCCCTGCGCCAAATTCTTTTCAACTTTTAAAGAGGAGCAATAGAAAGCATCCTGACTGGAAACATCACAAACTGGCATGGTAGGTGCATGGTCCAGGACAAGTGGGCTCTGCAGCTGGTGATTAAAACTGCTCAGAACATAATTGGTACACATCTTCTGAACATCAGTGATATCGGTGAGGTGCCAAAGGATATTAAAGGACAGTACACCGCCCAGTCACAACCTGTTCATGCTGCTGCCATCTGGGAAGAGACATAGGAGTATCCTCTGTACTCCGCCATATATAAATGACATGGAACTTTACAGTGACATTGCACATACTGTACATAGTTCCTGGGTGTATTGGTATATACATATATAAGTAACTTTATATATTGGTGAATTTAATTTTCTTTTATTCTTTTCAAATTTAGATATACAGTATGTATGTATCTATGTTTGTGTGTATGTAGCATGAATGGGGCGACAATTTGCAAACTGACATTAAATGGACTTTGAAAAGAATAGTTTGTTTAAGACAGACTTGAAAAAATGTGAAAATGTGAAACATTCAAACCCTTAATATGGATACCATTTTTCAATGTGGTTTTCGCTCTACTGCAGAAAAAAAACTTTGTACTGTGATTACGCAAGTTCTTGTGAAGACACATACTTTGCTTAAGTTAAAATTACTTTTATGTAAATGTAATCAGACGCTTTAAAAAAAGCAGAGATAATGATGGGGATCAGAAACATGATTATTTACCTTGTGAGGCAGGTGTACTTTCCAGAATGTTTTGCTTCAGCTAGGAACTTCCTTCCACAGTCAAAGGATGGGTGTTCATTTCCTTCTCCGGTCCCAGACCACACCACCTCCATGTGAAGGTTCACACATTTTATGCACGGCATCATAAAGATTTCCCCCTCCACAGCTCTGATGTGCTGGTGCATAGTATTCTGCTGAAGACCTAGAGGCATGTGGGCACATATCATATTTCAGTTTCATTTTAATCGTACGGTGTAAAAAGGTCTTGGAAACCATTACTAATCACCTCCTTTTAAACACATTAAGAAGCACAGTTTTTCCAGCTGTAATATTAAAATACAATTTGAGTTTCAATAAAATACCTGTTATTTTCTTTTGATGCTTTCCCACACAACATCCATCCAAGAAAATGGGAAAGAAAAAAAACACAATACATCCAGTCTGCATCCTGTGTCTCTAAATCTGAAAACAGTGTTTGTTGGTTTCAGTCATAATGCAGATGAATTTTTATTTGTCATGTTTAGAGTAACTCAGATGTGGAGTTCTTGGTATTTTCTCACCGTTAATGATGATTGTCTCTTGGGTGGTGACATGTGGTGCAACATTTCACAGGACACATAGATGTTGTAGGAGGTGGTATCGACCGGTTTCCTGTTTGGTTGTTTTTCAAGACGATTTCACTGGAACCTGCTGTAATATTTTCTTCCTGGTAGTTGTTAGCCACTTCCTATGTGAAATTTAGAAGAACATCTAGTGTAGTGTTGTAATATTTTACGGTGTTGTGAAAGGAAACACAAACTGTATCAAACCTGTCGTGATTTCAAGCATAAAATACAAAATACTGCACTAAACCAGTAGACTGCACTGGCAATAGAAGTCACAATATGGTACCTTAAAGAGCAAGAGACATTTAGGTTAGGCAGATTTGTAATTCATGCTTTTTCAACATAATTAAATTCAAATTTACAATACTAAAACACAAACACAGTTTTCTAAGAGTAAATTTAGATACTGAAAGCACTGTACATATACTCGCTGCTTTATGATGTGTTGACTAGGGCTAACCTGCATGTGGTGGTTAAGACCCCAATTTTCTGGGGCACACCTGTATTTTAACTGACCTAGTTTCTAATCCCATTGTTCATTCTGGCCTGTATCTCCCCTCCACCATCTCCTTCTTTGCTATATCTGCTGTTTTGTAATGTTTAATTAAGTATGAATGAGGGATGGAACATGCTTAACTTTAACTAAGATCTATTTACTACTAAGTTTGTGTGACTAATGATTTTGAAATTTGGGAGTCTCCCACCAGCTAATGAGAACGAGCTGAGCTGACCCAGAAGGGTCACCAGCGTGTTGTGTATTTGCTCACACTATAAAATGTATAAACCATACTGATTCCCTCTTCTCAGTCATGAGTTCATCAGTTCATCCACAGTTTAATTATCTTTTTTTGTTTTTCTGTCACGATTGTTAGATAAACTGCAAACAGGAGAGAGCCTGAACGCAAGACACTGGAGAGTTGACAAAGGAGGTTTTAATCCAAAAACACAAAGACTCAGGCTTACATGCAGTTTGGGTGAAAAACATCCAAACACCGGATCAGGCAGCATAGAGACAGGCAGCAACACTTCAAAATATATAGATAACAGTCTATATTTCCAATATAACATTAGCGGTCTAAAGTCCATTACAGTGTATGCTGTGTGACCATAAACAGTCACAAAAAAATAGTTTAGCTGGATATCATCAGGATATCATGTACAATGTGTTTTAAACTTGAGTAGCTAACCTTAGCCTAGCTCGTCATGTCTGAGTGCACAAATGCACTTCCAGTCATGGTGCATTCCATTTGACATGGGAAGTCGGGTATTTCCGAGTTCAAAGGCCAAAATTTCAAAGGGAACGCCCCCCACTTCGGAAGTCGGAGTGACTCGCCCTACTCCGACTTCGTGATCCAAGTGGTGCGTCCTATTTGGTGTCACATTCACTGTTCATTCATTTGGTGTGTTCCATTCAGTGTCTAAGATGGCTGTCGGGGTATCAACAGTTAGTGAAAGCTCAAGTTTATACTGTTTATTAGCACACAGCAGTACAATTTTTTGTACACAAAGTGCTGTCCACAAGCTGCATGTGGTCGTGTTGCTACAGTGTTTAGTTTGAGTAAATACCGCACAATGCGTTTTTTATTATCAACCGGCGTATCAATAGCTAACCTGGCTAGTTGTAAACAACGGCTGGCAGAGCGAGGTTTTCCGACTTGTAACTGGAATACCGTCAACTCGGGTGTGACGTCATTCCCAGCTCCGACCTCCGAGGTAAAGCTTCATGCCAAGACGGCTAACGTTAGCTAACTACTATACATTATACATGTCATTCTAAAAAAGGAGACAGCGATAGACTCCATGACCTTGCCAACAGTAAATTTAAATAATCATTAAATCCTGCCATACTACATTTAAAAAGCATTTCTATTGAAATGAGCGACGCTACAGCTCTGTCTCCAGAAAGTGGACGGAGCCGTCGGAGCAAGGGGATTGTAGGCGTGGCCATGCGTTCGATGCAAATCCATGATTGGTCAGTCAAACCACCAATAGAATCTCTTATTTAGACCTTTTTTGACTCGCAAAACTTTTCAACTTGCAAATCTCTCTCACTTGCAAAACGGTTGAACATGCAAAACTTTCTGACTTGCAAGGAAAACTTTTTAACTCGCAAGGAAAACTTTTTAACTTGCTATAAATAAGGACAAATTAGCAATTAAAACTTTGTGACACATAAAAGGCCTGTTAATTTTAATTAGAAACTTAATTTTTGATTGCAGTGCGATAAATATGCTCTCAAAACATTTTGCTCACAGAAACTAACAAGAAACATCAGATAAGAACAGAACTGACAAGAACTAAGGCAGTCACTGATATATCAAAAGGACAGATCAGACCAGAACAACCACAGAGAACAAGCAGAAGGCAGAACAACATAGACAAACTCCACAAGACACAAACAGACAGCACCAAATCAAAATGTAAACACAATGACTATATAACAGGCACCGAACTGATCAAATAACCAAAACTTACAGAGAACTAAACTAAGCAGAGCAGACAGGCAGAATGTGACATTTTCTATGCAAAACATAGCACAAAGTGCAGCCTTCTGACAAAGACAGTCTGCTTTGTTTATGTTAGGGAGACTGGGGACAATTCTGACAATTTTTTGGTTTTGTTGTCATTACTCAAAAACCTCCTGAACTGTTTGGATACAATTGTTATGTAGTTAACTTACCATCTGCCACCACGTGCACTGGCAATTGTAACAACACACGTAATACTTTCATAAAAATACCAAGGACCACAATAAACTCCCAAGAATATAAATGTAGTAAAACAATTTAATATCCATTGATATTACTGCCTGAAACGATTCCTTATTTTTTATGAAGCAGTACAAGGTCACGTGACAAATTTCACTGGACTTCGCCACAGCCCTCACTGAATTGCCTGTTGTTTTCTGTTGGCATGCTGTGAATAGAAAGTGTATAGGGCCTACTCTGTAAAATGATTCCCCACACTGAGAGGCAAAAAATGTAACCTCTGGAATATGCCACTAAGTATATTGATAACACAGAATGCATAGTATAGTAGGCTGCAGTTCATTCATATACACACATATTTAAACTGAACACAAAATCCTTTTCTGACATTATTAGAAAAAAAACAACCATCTAATATTTTCAGTACTGAGTTTCAATACTAGGCTACCATTACGAACAAAAAAATACACTGCTCAAAAAATAAAGGGAACACTTAAACAACGCAATGTCAATCACACTCCTGTGAAATCAAACTGTCCTCTTAGGAACCAACACTGATTGACAATCAATTTCACATGCTGTTGTGCAAATGGAATAGACAACAGGTGGAAATTATAGGCAATTAGCAAGACACCCCCAATAAAAGAGTGGTTCTACAGGTGGTGACCACAGACCATTTCTCTGTTCCTATGCTTTCTGGCTGATGTTTTGGTCATTTTTGAATGCTGGCGGTGCTTTCACTCTAGTGGTAGCATGAGACGGAGTCTACAACCCACACAAGTGGCTCAGGTGCAGCTCATCCAGGATGGCACATCAATGCAAGCTGTGGCAAGAAGGTTTGCTGTGTCTGTCAGCGTAGTGTCCAGAGCATGGAGGCGCTACCAGGAGACAGGCCAGTACATCAGGAGACGTTGAGGAGGCCGTAGGAGGGCAACAACCCAGCAGCAGGACCGCTACCTCTGCCTTTGTGCGTGGAGGAGCAGGAGGAGCACTGCCAGAGCCCTGCAAAATGACCTCCAGCAGGCCACAAATGTGCATGTGTCTGCTCAAACGGTCAGAAACAGACTCCATGAGGGTGGTATGAGGGCCCGACGTGCAGGATGTTTAGTGTTTCCACCCTCTTGTTGTTCCTCTCCTGTCCTTGAATATTCATCAAGGCTGAGAGGATCTCTGTTCCCCAAAACATAGAAACCTTGACCGTGTAAATGATTATGCATCCCTTTGCTCTGGGTCAGACGCCCGAAGCTGCCCTAGGCGGCAGGTCTCTGGACCAGCTGTATATGTGTTTTAGTACTTCTCTGTTTATTCTCTTTTATTAATAAATTCTTCAAAGACAACTGTTTGTTGCAACCCAATTATTTGCTTAATCCCTCACCAGCGATATACAATTTCCACGACAAATAGTGAATATGTTGTGTGTTAACAAATATGGTAATTTAAAATCTGCATTGTTTTTTTTTAACAAACAATAATTAAATAAACAAATAGGACATATGCTGATTAATGAACTTTAGATGTGTTGGTACGTGTACTTTTTAACAATATCCAGAGCCAGGCTAGCTGTTTACCCCAGCTTTCAGTCTTTATGCTGTTAGGTTATGTGAATAGCTTAATAAATAATGACTTATAACTAACTTTGCATGTCTACAATAAATATCCAATACTGGGCTGAAAATTACAGTTAGTCAAACCAAAACAGAGAGGTTAGAAGGCTAACAGGGTTTGTAGTTGTAGTCTGGACTAATTCTGAGAAGGTTTTAATTGATTGAAATATTGATTAATGCTAGTATAAAACACAATTTATTTCGATGTAGAGTTCATAAATATTTTGCCCTATCACAGTAGCACATCTCATAATACATTAAATAAAGGGAATTAATCATGAAGAGCAGCAGAACTGAGACAGCACAGTGCTCACATGTTCAAAAACAGAAGATATGGCATACAACATGCAGAGTGGTATAGCAAGAAATTTATAGAAAGAAAGTAGTAAAATCCAGTGACACCACTGAAACAGAAAACATTCATTCATGAGCCACTATGAAAAGCAACACTTCAACTGTGATGAGAATACTACACCAGTTGGAAACTTTTGGAAATGACAGTAGTAACAGTGTATGGGCTGATGTAGGAATCAGTTTTACATAATACATGTCTTTACAACTGACAGGGGAAGCTGCCTGTGTCAGATGACCCACTGGAGGAAAAAGGAAACATATCTACAGTGGTGGAAACTAACTAAGTACATTTTCTAAACATCACAGAAATCCACAGTGTTTTGTGAAGATCGCCCTGACTCAATCAATTTCTGTTTGCACATTTTAATATTAGATCCCCCTCTAGTAAGAGTTTTTATTTAAATAATTTTATCTCTTAAAGAGGGTCTTGTTGGCTTT